CCCTGGTCAGTAAGTGTCCACAGTCCAGAGGAATACACAGCAATGCTACAAGAAGGTTGGTGATCTTCTGTGCTCCACAAGGGTAGGCACAGCCATCTTTGCTCCGCAGCTTTGCACTTTCTAACTCTGTCACTGCAAACACCTCCTGCAGGGGCTAATGGCATACCACTCTCACAATTGCATTCACTTCCCCACCTCACCCTCCTGAACAACTAACCCTTCCCTGCTCTCTTTGCTTCCTACTCTCACACTTGGGTCACCTCACTCCTGCCCTGCACAAACAGCCACTGTCATCTCACTTTCTCAGTCGTTGTCTCACTGTGGGAGAAACTGTCTCATAAATAGGGCTGGAAGGGTAAAGACAGGCTGCAGGGTGACTGAGATAGTAGGAACTGCAGATGCTGGAGAATCTGAGATAACAAGGTGTCGAGCTGGATGAACACAGCAGGCCAAGCAGCATCAGAGGAGCAGGATGCTGCTTGGCCTGCTGTGTTCATCCAGCTCTACACCTTGTTATTGCAGGGTGACTGACCTCTGTCTCCTCATTCCGGATGAGGACTCGATTTGTTGGTCAATGCTAAATGTGGGTCATCACTAGAAGCTATGAATGCCTGATTAATGCAATTGCTCCTTTGTTGGCCTCACCTTGCCGCAAGTGCACCCTCCCCCGAAGAGAAGATGGAACAAACTTATTCCACTCACTGTAAGGGTACTGGCTGCTAGTTTTCATCCTTCTTGCACAGTCACGATTAGGCCAAAAACGGGCAGCACGGTGGCTCAATGGTTAGCACTGCTGTCTCACAGCACCAGGGACCCGGGTTTGATTCCACCCTCGGGCAACTGCCTGTGTGGAGTCTGCACATTCTCCCCGTGTCTGCGTGGTTTCCTCCCACAGTCCAACGATGTGCAGGTTAGGTGGATTGGTTGTGCTAAATTGACCATAGTGTTCAGGGATGTGTAGATTAGGTGTGTTATAGGGGGATAGGTCTGGGCGGGATGCTCCAAGGGTTGGTGTGGGCTTGTTGGGCCAAAGGGCCTGTTTCCACACTGTAGGGGTTCTATGATTCTTGACTGATTCTGTGACACATTATGCAGGGTGTGCTCATGACAGTCAGTTCCAGACTCTACCTGAAAGTTGAAGCTGAATCCCCCACCCATCATATATCCTTTTGTGTCATTGCCTGCGTCAACCTTACCTATCCAATCATTTAACTGTGAGAGTGCTCTATTTTTCCCTTCAGCCCTTGGCATACCATGTAATCACGCCTTACTGCAAGTTAATGTGCTGTCCTTGAAGGCAGGATGGTGGTGATTTGTGAAAACCCCTCTTGCTGCAGTACCCTTTGTCCTTCAATCAAATGCCATCCACTTATTGGGAGATAAACCTGTTCACAGTCATTACCCACTCTGTCTCCGAACACATTGGTTCCAATCACAGACAGTCAAGATACCACCTTTCCCCAACAGAGCACGTTCTGTGCCCTGGTAACACCTACAGCCCAAATCCCAACACTGATGTAGACCACATCTCCCAGACAGGCGTGTGAGGACAGCCCCAGCCTCCTGACATGATGCCTGTCCAACTCCCCAACCGAATTACCCAAATTGATCAAACTTGACCTGCTGGACTGACAATGGCCCAATTCCTGATCCCACAATCATATCAAGCACCTGACTCACCATGGCAAACTTCCTGGACTGAGATCAGATGATGCTCTTCACTAACTGTTGTGACAAACCCCTGACTGACCATGGCCCTCTCAATTAAGGGCTACTCTGCTTTGACATTGTGTGACATTGACGTACAGCAGACATGTCCATATTCTTGACTCTTCATGGTGGGCAAACATGATAAGCTGCCTGACTTTCTATCTAGCCTGGCACTAAAAGGCAAGGCCAGCTAATGAGGTGCAGGTTGTGAATGAAGTGGGAACGCTGTAAAAGGCAAGTCCGAGGTGTTGCGAGTAGTGGAGAAAGCGCTGTTGCGAAGTTGGGTAGAGTACTTGTGAATTAGACAGCAGGATGTTTCAATTTGTTTGTAAAAATGATAGGGAGGAACAGTGCATGGTCCCTTTAAGAGGTGATGTGCTTTTCTAAGCATGGAGGCTAAAAAACGCCTGCAAGCAGCTGCAGACGCATAGACAGTTCTGAAATTGAAACATGTGTATCAATTGGCTGTGTGGTTGGCAACGGAGGCTTGTTTTGATGTTAAAGCATTCAGCTTGATATATCAATTATTTTAAACCACCCTAGATACCAAAACCCAATTAAAATAGGTCATCTAGGGTATATTAGAAGAAAGATTTTGAAAATCAGGGTGAGTGAACTGCCATTGGTGGAGTAAAACTCTGCCTCTCACAGAAATCTTTAAGCTCCCTGATTACGCACCATCTAAAAGGTACTGGAGCATTCTTAGCTAATATTCCTGACATGAGGATTCGACAAAGAAAGAATTCCTGACTGAAGAATAGTGGAAAAGTCAGGGACATTCCAGAAGTCGCATCCTGACTGTAGTTTTGAGAGTCTAAGTTTTAATTTACTTTTCTTATTACGTTGGTTTATAGAAGTGGGACGTGTATTTATTGGAACAGCATATCATTACAAATTTTTTATTTAGGATTAGTTAGTAGTTAAGGGGGAATTGGTTTGTTAGTAGTTCTGTTAATTTGTTAACTGTTAGAGAGTTAGATAAATAAATTGTTACTTGTTGATTGTAAAGTGAATATCAGGGATTTCTTTCATTTAACCACTCGGACTGCCGACATTGGAAACTGGCGAAGTCTAGTGTATCACAGGGAGAATTGCGAACTGCATGAGAATGAGGCATGCTTAGGATATGTTAATACATGCAAATAGGAACCACCTACTAGTGAAATTCCCATCTAGCCATCGATACCAGAAGGATATCCTCAACTTTGAAACCGTAATTTTTTTTTCGTTCTGGCTGTATTCTCCCAAATTTTTTGCCATTGCCAATACCGCTCAAGGGCTGGGAAGATCTGCCATTAGTGTGTTTTTAACTTTCCCCTAGTTTCAACATGCATGTTTATAGAAGTATAAAAACATTAGATTACATAGAAAGATCAAAGATGGGATGGGCAAGCAAATCTGTAAGAAGATTAAAATAGAAATCAGAACTAAAATGTTTAAAATATTCTTATTTTCAATGTAATAAAATTTTGCGTCCATTTTTGCAACTTTGGGTTAATGTTGCAGGAACAGTTGTCCTGTTATGATTTAGTGCATTTCCGATAATCATACAAAACTGTGACCCAAGGTGACTTGCAGTCAATGGGTTAATTACATCTTGTACACCAACAATAAAAGTTAGTAATTAATTTTACATAAAAGAATTGCAGTTTATTAGTGATATTAACATTACAGACAAAAAGGAAAATGTACATCTTGTTATCACAGATGCACGACCATTAATAACAGTTTGATGCTCATGAATACAGATTGGAAAAAATTACAGAAACGTAATTTTGACATTTTAGTAATGGAAGTTTTTTTTGTGCATTGGCAGCATTTTTATGCAATAGATATGGCACAGGAGGTCTTGATGTACAATTGGTAGCATCCCTACCTATGAGCCAAAAGCTCCAGGTTTGAATCCCACCCCAGGACTTGATGGTTATGGAAATGTATTCATTTTGCAGGCAAACAAGTTGAATATCAACCTACAAATCCTTCCAGCACACTCCAGTGGCAGGAGGTAAGGGTGGGAGAGATTCCTGGTCAGCCATATGATTGATAAAGCTTTGAAGGCTATATTATCATTTCCGACAGCTCCAAACTACAACATGCATGTGAAAACATATGTTGCCGCAACAACTGCCTGAGTAAACTATATCAGATCACCACCCAGGTGTTATATACACACACGTACACTATAATTTAGTGTATTAGTGAGGATCCTCAAATATGTAGAAAAAATGTCAAATTTGTAATTATTTTTGACACATTCGTAGTCACATGTTCTATGCACCCTAATGTAATCTGTACCAAAAATGTGACCACATTGTTGGAATGATCAACTTCTCAATTTTAAAACAACTGGATATGTTTCTTTAAAAAACAAATGAAAATCCTTTAAAACACACCAGGTCATCAATCGAAAGGTCTCATCCAAGATATTTATATATCTTTCTTTTCTGATGCTATCTAAATTGTCGTGTCTTTCCAACATTTTCCAGTTTTTTACTTCTGGTTTTTAGTTGCTTTAACACATTCCCCCCTCCCCTCCAGGAGATCTATGTTATTTAAAAATACAAAAAAAAATGCTACTTTGTTGATACACTGATTGTGTGTTAAGACAGTTTAACTCTTAAGTTCTGATTCCAAATTAGCAATTTTGTCACTATTAAGAAAACCCTAATTTCAAACACAAGGAAACAAACAAATCTTAAAAACTGGAAAGCATTTGTTTGTCAAATAGTTACTTATCTCATATAAATCCTTTAAGAAGTTCTAACAAAATCACCCAAACAATTGAACAGAATTGAACAGTGCAGGGCAAATTTAGCGTTTGTTCTCTGCTACTCATATGCTCACAGAGTCATAGAGCTGTACAGCGTGGAAACAGACCCTTCTGTCCAACTCGTCCATGCCGACCAGATATCCTAAATTAATCTAGTCCCATTTGGCAGCATTTGGCCCATATCCCTCTAACCCTTCCTATTCATATACCCATCCAGATGCCTTTTAAATGTTATAATTGTACCAGCCTCCACCACTTCCTCTGGCAGTTCATTCCATACATGCACCACTATCTCAGAGAAAAAGTTGCCCCATAGGTCCCTTTTAATCTTTTCCTGCTCACCTTAAATGTATGGCCTCTAGTTTTGGACTCTCCTGCCCCGGGGAAAAGCCCTTGTCTATTTACCCTATCGATGCCCTTCATGATTTTATAAACCTCTATAAGGTCACCCCTCAGCCTCCGATGCTCCGTGGAAAGTAGCCCCAGCCTCTTCAGCCTCTCCCTATAACTCAAACCCCCCAACCCTGGCAACATCCTTGTAAATCTTTTCGAACCCCTTCAAGCTTCACAACATCCTTCCTAAAGCAAGGCCTAATATCTTTATTTTCCAAACAGTATTAATAGTATTTCCTCAATTTAAGTTTTGACAGAAAATTTAGGTTTAAATGAAGGAGAATAAATTACTGTTAGGCAATATCATTTAATACTTTTGTGAATTACTTCCCAAAGCAAGGCTGAGTAGGCACTCACTGCTCATTAAAACCTTTCAAGAGCCCAATGCAATCTTGCACAAGGTTGGTATAGGGCAGTGTAGATTGCTCGAATTTGTTTTATGAGTTTGAACTGAATCTAACTAATGGTCTTTGCTGCAACTCTAACACAAGTGTTATAAAATCTTAAGCGACAGGAGCAGAATTAGATCATTTAGCCCATTGAGTCTGTTCCACCATTCAATCATAGCTGATATGTTTCTCAGCATCATTGTCTTGTCTTCTCCCCGTAATCCTTGATCCCTCTACTAAACACTAACGTGTCGTGGTTATTTTAATCCCTTTAGAAAACTGTGTTAAATCAGGAGTTAAGGTACAGATTAGTCAAATTAATAGTGAATCTTTGTTTTTGTCATAATGATTCTGTTACATTGCACAGCCATACCAATGTCACTACATTTCACTTTGCTTTTCTAGAGCTGCAATTCAATTCATGATTATACAGCTTGTTCACTAAATTATTCCTTAAGTGAAAATTCAGGTAGCGAATGCCAAAAAGGTTACACATCATTAATGGTTAGTTAAAAATAGGAAGTTAATTAAAGTTGTTAGGTATTAAATAGGTAATAAAGCAAAATATCAATATACTACCCAAGCTCAATGACGCTTGCTCTTTTATTTACTACTGCATGCATCTAGCATCTTGAAAATTTAGTGGCCACCTTTACTCAGATTTAAGTACCTACACCTAGACCACAGTTTAGTAAATTAATACATTTAACTGTCCTGCAGTAAAACATGATTTTTTTTTTGTTTTTCTAATATCACAAAACCTTACAATATTTTCTTTACCAGTATGAGATTCATGGATCACATCTGATTTTAAAACACTACAGTAGACATTGTTATGTATCACCAAAACATACCTGTGCCTGAAGCAAAAAGTACAATCTAATTTGTAAGGAATAAAGTGGATAACCAGAATTATAAAATTTGATGTGGTCTGGAAAAGGATCAGGCCTCTTAGTATTTACACTGAAATAACTATAAAGTGCTTAACATCCAGCAGACAAGCATTTCCAAAACCGAATTCAACTGTTAAGAAGTTTTCTGTGAGCTATTATTTGCAGTTTAAACTATTATGTAGATCTTGGCATAAAGAACATCCTGCTGTTTGGTAGCTAGCTAATAAATTGTATAAGAAGAGCAAGTTCAACTATACATGTTTAAAGAGCAGAATAACTTGGGTCACAACCTGCACACAACTCAACAAAGTCCCTCTGTAACAGTTTAAAATTCAAGGCTAGCGAGAATGATGCCTAAATTAGGACTATTGTTATAGGTAGAGCACAGTTTAGGGTCACTAACCATGAACAAAGGAGCTCAAGTATGACTGAAATTAGAGCTCAAAGTTCTATGAATTAATCAATTACAGGGTCAATCATTGTCAAATAGAGTCAACCAGCAACTTTTAAAGAGTCTCTCACGGGTCAACTAGCCTTTGGCTTTTAGTAAATTAATTATGTATGAGAGTGTCTTCCCTTGCCGTGGTTTCATTTTGTCAGAACATTTATCTTTAACTATCAAAAAAATTAAAGAAGAATAATGCTGATAGTCAAAAATCATCTTGGACTTTGAAGTATGTGGTAAATATGAAGAACTCTTAATGAAATCATCTAATTGAATCTGCAGCAATACTATTCTGGAACAGAAATTCTGATTTGGAATTTCCTGCGTACTTGTGCCCAGAGACAAGCACAACAATGGGATCAATAACAGCTTGTGGAATTTTGATTGTAAGTGAGCTATGTACCTAAGTACATTATCCCCAAGAGTCCATTTTTTACAACTATTCACCAAACCCATCTCTGCCCAATATCCTGGCCTTGCTTCCTTTATTGCCATTTGCTCAGAGGATTCTTAAAAAATTATGACCAGATTCAGAAAGAACAAAGTCATAGGTCCAGTGTTTCATTGAAATTCTTGGAGCCTTTTAAAAAATAAAATCATGCTCATTGAAACCTGCTCTGCATTTATGTCTTTAACTGGACTTTTTTTCATGGTATCACTGCAGGCAACATTAAAAATTTAACAGCTTTCCCACTCACAGTTTCCTACATATGCTGTGCCAAATCTGCATGAATGATGGTTAAATGAGTTGAAACATTAATTTAATATTTAAAGGAAGAATGTATGCTGCAGAACTTGATTAGTGCCCACATTTATTTTTGACATAATATGGGATTTCAAACATAATCTGACATTGGTGAATTTGTTTAGAAATGGCACCATTTTGGACTTAAGTTCTGGGTGTGACTCTGCTGGAAATGTAAAGTTTCAATGACGAACAAAACACTGATTACCAACATCAACAGAATGCATACTTGAGCACCTAAAGTAGATGTTAGTGATATTTTTATACAGACGGTTAACAATACGTTTAACTTTTAATAACAACGCAAATTCTGATCTATGCATTGAATGTTTAAGAGATAAAAAGCCAGGGTTTACTAAAACTTGAAATCAATCTTATAATTAAGCAGAATTCAAACATATGGCTTGTACATTAGATGGACACAATATCATCTCCAACTCCAAAAGGAGGTTCCACTGATTTAGGTTATCCAAATGGAAACGTGCTGCACAGCAACAGATTTTACCCTTTTAAGGAAACCCATAAATTTAATAAATATTTGAAGTCCAGTATTATTCTCCGTTTGGCCTTGTCTTTTCTTTCTTCTTCAGGATTTTTTTTAAACCAACATCGATGGTGGGGAGGTCAGGTTCTTACCGCAGGGCGTGGGGGAGGTCGTGAAGGAGGGGGTGCTCGGGATGGTGGTGGTCCAGGAGGTGGACTCCTCACACATGACCTTGCTGATGAAGCAGGAGGCCTGGGAAGTTCACGGGTTAAAGGAATATATTCATTGTGAGGTGTGTGAGTAGCAGGAGCATTGCATGGACGAGATGGTGTTTCATTTTCTTTCACTCTGGTGAAGTTTACGCAGCGACCCTACATGAGAAACAGAAATAACCAAATTACAATCTTCATGTGTTTATTCCTGTATTTTAGGTCAAAGTGGTCTGGGGAAGACTGATACATAGCAATTCATATTTGTATTTTCTTTCCCAACACTATTGTTTGCAACTACTGTTTGTCAGCATTCTTTCAGCCAGCAAATTAACATTTAGTTTACATTTCTTCTTATACCTATTTAAGGTTGTTTGTTTAAAAGGCCAATATTACTTATATTAAACTCACTTCAGTACAATTTAGCTAGCAGTTAATTTGTTCCGGAATTTCCACTGGGTTTGTTGCATTTTTGATTTACTTTCCCTCTTTTCACCATTTTGTTTACATGTACACATTATGTGTAAAGGGACTTAATGAAATTGAAGAATGTAGGTGATTCAACATATCACAAAAGCAAATCCAGGGTGTTTATAACTGTTGTTTAAACTCTAAGGTCTGTGAAAGTCTTCAATAACAATGTGTATTCATATAGCACCTTTGAGATGATGAAATACCCAAGGCATTTTATGAACATTAGTCAAACAAAAGTTAAACACTGAACTCTGTAAGGAAAATAGACCAAATGAGCAAAACTTTGATCAATGAGATGGTTTTAAAGAGTTTCTTAAAGGAGGAAAGAGAAGAAGGCAGGCAGAGATTTAAGGAGGTAATTCCAGTGCTTACGACCTTGGTAACTAAAGATATAAGCACAAATGGTGAAATGACCAAAATTGGGAATGCTCAAGAAGCCTGAATTAGAAAAGTGCAAGGAATCTCAGGTGAGCTATAGGCCTGGAGGAAGTAACAGAGCTAGGGAACAGGGAGGCTATGGAGACATTTGTAAATATCTTCTATCTATCTATATTTGATCAACAAAGTGAGAAATATGATGTCGACGATCAGTGCATTTCCCTTCCGTAATATGTTGCTAGTGCTTACAAACAACAGTGAACATTTTCATTATCTACAACAATCAATGTTGACTTAAAAATTAGAAACACACACAGAGACAAATTTGTTCAAACAAGTTGTCCAAACACAGCAGAAAAGGTTTAGCAAAAAAGAATCACTTCAATCTGATGTGAAGATCTGATTCCACTCCCTAGGGTCTTTGTAACCTCATACAACAAATTTGTGAGCTGCATGTTTACATATTTCCCACACAAATAAAATATTTAGCAGCCAAATGCCATAGTTAAAAACATACCATTCACCATGCTGCCAGCTTTCTTTGGGACTTTCATTTACAACAAGGTGATTTTTGTCTAGAAGTGAGAATTTATTCAGACATCTTATTTGGTCTGCTAAGAGACTGTCCTTGGTTCACCTGGCATTAATCTAATACTCATTTATTGCTGAAGAAGGGTATAGGCCTGAAACATCAGCTTTCCTGCTCTTCTGATGCTGCTTGGCCTGCTGTGTTCATCCAGCTCTACACCTTGTTATCATTTATTGCTTGTGGGTTTTGATCTGCTAGAAAATCAACCCACTGCAATCACAGGAGCAACGGTTCAATAACGTAACACTGCTGATTTTAAGTTGGTATATGAGTACGTACTTGTACTTGTTATGTGTTCTTATTACTTAAATCTATACAGTGTGAAATAAAAATGGCCACTGTTGGAAATGGCAGGTCAAGCAACATTTATGGATGGGATAAAAAAATTTTGATATTTCAAGTACTTACCTTTATCAGGTGTTAACATATCCAGCATTTATGAAATGGGATAAAAAGATTTTGATATTTCAAGTATTTACCTTTATCAGGTGTTAACATTTCCAGCATTTTAACATTTTTCATTTTAAATTTGCACAATTTTATTCCAATGTGACATGTTCTAGTTTAATTGCAAGCATACTCCAGTTGAAACTTTGTACAATATGACTGTGAAAATGTGAATATTTGATTTGAGGCAGACTTTGCACAGTTTAAAATATGGTGATATGCGTATTAACATTATTAACTGGAAATACAAGTTTCCTCTGATATTATGGCAAATACAGGTCATTTCGGTACAAAGTGCAAATGAGGCTGATAGTAGTTTGACCCCTTCCAATATGAATGGAAGAGAAACCATGTAAGTATCTACATATGGGTACATATGTAGCTCAGAGTCACTCAGCGAGAGTTTAATTTCAAATAATTGCACCTCACAGTGTTTATATTTTAATTAAAACAGCAGTTAAAAATAACTGTGTAACATGTTAAATGTTCCTTTGGGCAATCCACTGATTAAAGAATATAACCATGGTTCTAAAGTGTCTGTGCTCATTTCATGCTATGTTAATCAAACACAAAAATACTCAGTCGTGAAAAAAATCATAGCTAACCCATCACTGGTATACAATCATGTAAGAAACCATGAATCTGTTCAAATTACTCTCACTCCAGTTAAAGTGAGAAGGGCCGTCAAAGTGCTGCCAGTTCCTGCCACGCACTTTGATTACTTGTCAGACAAACAGATGGAGAGATTAAAGGCCACGAGCCATATTGTGACAGAAAAGATTCCTTTCTTTGTTTGGCACACTCTTAGGTCTTTGCAAATGAGAAAAAAGGAATGCCCTTCTGTTTTAATTGCAATCAACAGTTTTGTTGCTTCTGAACTAAAGCACGTTACATCATGTCTAAGCTCGGTCTTCTCAACCAGTGATATATTTCAGCAATCTACAATATGACTAAACTATTACTTATTCTGTTTGTTTGAAAACATCAACCATCATTCATGTATCATATGATTGTATCAGAAATAATACACTTTAAACAGTGTTAAGATTGTGGATAGTACATTTTCTACTTACTTACACTATTTCACATAGGATCATTCTAATTACCAGATGACTATTGACTTGATAGATGTTATATGTGTTTTTCATGTATTCTTTTACTCTCAGGTCTGAATTTTCCTTGTGTGCAATCTACCCATTATCATTATTAATCATTTAAAAACATAGAATCAATTCATTATTAAATCTTCTGAAGTTAAATTCTTAACAGATATTTTTTGTTCAAGCTTCTCTACCTCATCTTAAAATTTTCTTTAGTCAGTCAGTGCTTAACATGCAAGCAAAGAATATAGTTGAGTTAATGATTCAAGAAATCACACATTTGTAGCTTCTTTAGAATTTTCAGATTGGATGGGTTAAATGGAATGTTCATAAATGCTTTGTCAGCATGAGATTTGTTTTGTACTGCACAATGCTAAGCTGAAATTGCAGCTCGATAAACAACTGGTAAATATAAATAAGGTGCATTTGTGCAGAAAGTTTAAATTATCAGATTAATCTATGTGTGTGAAGGCAATGTTACCAACTATCCTTTTGATATTATACCATAAACAGATATTTCCTGGTGCAACACAAAAAATGTGATCTTTTAATATTGGAATGCCACTTGTGCAAAATGATCTGATCATCACTGTAACTATGCAATGTTTAGAGGCCTACAGAAATCCTGGTCAAGTCATGTATTTGTGTGCTTTTGACAGGTTTTGAGGATATCATCAATAAGACTGCACAGATAGAAATATTAATCTAACAAATATTGATATTTAAAATATAATTATTTCTAGGGTAAATTAATTTTAATCATTTGGTAAAATATTTTTAAAATACTATCTGCCTTGGAGGCCCAATGGACCAAACAGTCTCTTTCCGCGCAGTAATTACTATTTTCTAACATGAACACATTAAACTAAATGTAGCGAGCTAAACCGCTCAAAGGATAGGATAATACAATTTGTGAATCCTAGCAGGAATAGGTTTTAAATGATTAACATGACTCACAACTAAATGAGATAATGAGAAATTGTGACACCATATTATACATATGCTACACTTTATTACAGCCTCTTTATTGTAGACACCAAAGGGTATGCTTTTTAAAACCACAACTGTTTGTTAAAAATGTTTTCTTGCGCATTCAGATGAAGACGTATTCATTTATAGTTTTGTTTTGTGGCTGATTTCTCCACATTTAATTTCAATGACAATCGAATCGGCCAAATGATCACCCCCTCCCCCACAATGATTTGGTAAACAGATTAATGAGGTATGACGGGTAATAATTACTCTAATGCAATACCCCTGGCATATTGTTCTCTTGCAGTCTGGTATGCATTAAATCTTTAAACCAAGGTGTCAGAGATGCATTGTTGAAGAGTGGACTAATGATCCTAACTGTGACAGCTGTCCATTTCCCAGTTTGCATTTAGTAGCTCAGCCTGTCGGCCCTAAGAAGCAGCTTATCAGTCTGCTTACATTCTGCTCTTCGTACTTCCATCATTAGTTCTGACAGTAAATCTCTCTGCTGTCTTGAACTGAAGCTTGTTGCCATTCATGACCATCCAAAGACCAGTAAGGCACCATATGGAACGACTCCCTTACCTCCACTCACATCTGTGCAGTATTCATGCTGCACCATTCTGCTCTTTCCCATATGTTCACCCTTGTGTTTGGCTGTTGGCCGTACTGCTCACCAAATTGCCTTTTCTCTGCCCAAGTGCTGAGGCAGCAGGCGTTACCCTCACCCTGACTTAAGACCAATCAATCACAGCAATTTGTTTAGTCCTTGCCTAAGCACATCACGCCTGAATGCCAGCCCCTAATTATCCTCTTGTGAATGACCTCATGTCCTTTTTAGGTCTATCTACTGAAGTATTCATTTCAATGGACCACCTAGATGCTGATTTGTATTGTAAATTACCTCTAACTGCATCACAAAGCAACTTTTTGGTCACAATACATGAAGCCATTTCATTCAGCTGTTCTTAGAACTCTGTAATCCATGCTTAATGTTCGCATCCATGACGGCCTGTGGGTGTTCCTTGATGGTATCATTTTCCCTGTTGTTGTCAATAAAGTGACACTCCACAAATAAAAATTCCTGCAGAGAATATACCGACTGAAACATAACAATGTGTTCCTTAATGAAATGGATTAAAACAGATTAAAATGGACAACAGTGATTTGGCTTATCACCTTCACTTTATTGATGATGGACT